ATGCCAGAAACTCACAGACAGACCTCCAAACAGAGGGCAGGCCTACTACAAGGACTAGAAGCTGGTTTACAATACCAGAGAACACAAAGCAAGATCAGGAAACAGACACACACAGTGAGGTATTGGAAACACTGCCTCAGGACACTGAACAATTGGATTTGCATGAAATAAATTCACCTGCAAACGTACCAGACACTGGAAGTAATACACAAGGATACAGACATTCAGACAATGATATTAGATCAGAAATTAATGATCAGAACGTCCCAGTACTAAAGAATGCTACTGATCAACTCTGGAACTCGATTGAACCTCAATTACCTGATATTATAGCTCAATCTTCACTGGATTTACAATTCCCAGAATGTCTCAAAGGCAGATATCATGAGGATAACTTCTTCAATCAGATATTACAAGATCCAAAGCACTTCCAGAATTTTCATGTCAAAAATGGACTCATATTTCGCCAGGAGGGTGAGAGGTACATACTTTACATACCTAGAATTCTAATACACAACAGAAACGCTAGGGAAATTGTAATAGAGCATGCACATTCTATTTTGGCACACCTAGGACTGCAAAAGACACTTTCATACCTTAGAGAACAAGTTTGGTGGAAGGATATGATCATAGACATTAATTCCTACTGCAATTCGTGTCATACATGCAAGATCAGCAAACCTAACAATCAGAAACCGTTTGGTTTACTACATCTGCTCTCAGTACCTAATAGGCCTTGGGAAGGCATAGGAATGGACTTTGTTGGACCTTTTCCTGAATCAAAGAACTGTTTGGGACCTTTTGATATGATTTGTACAGTTATTTGTCTATTAACTAGCATGGTACACATTATTCCTACTAGGCAAACATACAGAGCAAGAGAAATTGCAGAGATAGTATTTGAAAATGTCTATAAACTGTATGGATTGCCTAATTACATTGTTAGCAACCATGATTCCCTATTCACCAGTACGTTTTGGAGAAGATTACATGAACTTATAAGTATTAAATTGAAGCTATCAAGCACATATCATCCACAGACCAATGGATCGACTGAGAGAATGAACAGAACAATTACTCAGATGCTTAGACAGTGTATTTCTCCTAAACAAAAGGATTGGATACATAAACTACCTATGATTGAGTATGCTATCAATACAGTAAGGTCAGAAACTACAGGATATGCACCATTCTTTCTAAATTACAGCTGAATGCCAAGGAACTTGATATGGAACAATCCCAGGAAGGATGAATATCCTGGAGTAAGGACTTATGCTCAGAAAGTAAAGGATGCAATACTACAGGCACACAATGCAATCCTTCAGGCAAGAGTAAAGCAAACTAGACATGCTAATAGACACAGACAACCCTCTTCCTTCGAATTAAACAATCTAGTGTATGTTTCTACAAAGAACATGAATCTACCAAGACAGCAAGCAAGGAAACTAGTACCAAAGTACATAGGACCTTACAGAATAATCCAGAACACAGGAAACAAGGCATTTGAACTAGATCTACCCAGGGAAATGAGGAATTGTAACATACACCCAGTATTTCATTCATCACTACTTAGGATACATGTTCCAAACAACAATAGATTATTCCCTGGAAGGGAAGTAGGACAAGTTACTGGATTAAACAATGAGAACAAGGAATGGACAGTAGATTCGATTGAAACTCATACAGGACAAGGGACTACTGCTTTGTTCAAAGTACTATGGAAGTCCAGAGATCACACATAGCTACCCTATAATAAAATTGCACACCTTGAGGCATTAAAGGAATACTTAGACATACTTGGAATCGATTCTATCAATGCACTAACTCTAGGAAAGGGAAAACTCGATACTGATGACCCTCAGGTTAGTATCAGTCTAGTAAAACATGAGGCAACCTTTCAAACACAATGCTACAGCATGGACATACAGGTAGACATATGCAAAGGCTTTAAAAACTGTGCATATAGTCACTTTACTACACATATCATGTCTACTACTCAAGAATCCGTTGCTCATACATTTGCATCTGCTTTTCTACAAGGTACAAATATGCCTCATCCTCCTCTACAACTCTTAGTTGGCCCTCAAGCACAACCAATCATGCAGGATTGGGTTACTCACAACCACAGTACAAGCACTGACTACGTTTTTGATTGAGAGGAGCTCAAGGAGATTGCAGCTTTCTCCAGGGCTATCCACAACAATTCCCTTGACCCTACTATGCAACTCCTAGAGTGTTATCTCATTGTATTATGCTTGTATAACTTCCACATTCCTTCTCATACGAGACTGAGCCTGCTACCACTGTTCCAAGACTGTGTTCAACATACTAAGATGATACAAGTGTCCCAGGACTTTGTATACCATAAGAACATGGCTTCGAACCAAGGTAAATGTGCATATATTCTACATTATATTATTACAAGTGCATATACCTTACTGTTTTACTTAGGTGCAAAGCGTAGAGCTGAGCAAATCAATAATGGAACTGCTATATTCCACTCACACAACTGCAAACGTCCTTGGATCGAGCCACAACTGCCCTCAACGTCCACCAATCTTACTTCAGTACTCAATATGAGTGCTCTGAGCTCATTCAACACTCAAGGCATTACTCTACTGCTGAATCCACTGCTTTCCACTCAATCCAACAGCCATTCCAACCAATCTGCTGCAAGTTCCACCAGTTCCACCACAGAACTTGTCCAAGCCAGACAGGAACACGTCCAGTCCACTACAGGACTGATCGAAGACACATCCATGGCTGCAGAGAACGTCCTAGTGCAGCAGTACTGAACTTTGTAGTAAGTTACTAACGT